AGGTTTAAGCCTAGCCCAGGCCTAAAAGAATTTTGATACTGGGGGCTGGGTGTGGTGGTTCATGCCTGATATCATAGCACTCTGGAAGGCTGAGGCAGGAGGATTTCTTAAGCTCAGGAATTTGAGACCAGCCCGAGCAAGAGCAAGACTCCATCTCTACTAGAAATAGAAAAAAAAAAACCAGACACTGTGTTGAGCGCCTGTAGTCCCAGCTACTTGGGAGGCTAAGGCAGAAAGATGGCATGAACCCAGGAGTATGAGGTTGCTATAAGCTAGGCTGATGCAATGGTACTCTAGCCTAAGCAACAGAGTCTCTGTCTCAAGAAAAAAAAAAAAAAAAGAGGCCAAGGTACCTAGCAACATGTGTTATCAGGCATGGTGGCTTACAACTGTAATCCCAGCACTCTGGGAGACCGAGGTAGGTAGATTGCCTGAGCTCAGGAAGACTCCATCTCCTTTTTTTTGAGACAGTCTCACTTTGTCACCTTCAGTAGAGTACTGTGGCATCATAGCTCACAGCAACCTCCAACTCTTGGGCTCAAGTGATTCTCTTGCCTCAGCCTCCCAAGTAGCTGGGACTACAGGCACCCACAACAATGCCCGGAGAAGTAACTCCTTATTGGCTATCCCACCATCCCATCACCATTCTGAGACTTCCCTATATAAGGATATGCTTCTCTTCTCTCTCTCTCTTCTCCTCCACTCTCTCTCCTCCTCACTCCCCTTTTCTCTTCTCTTTTTCTCTCCTCCTTGGTGCTGCTCTGCAGCCTCCCTCCCCCACCAATAAAGACCTTTCGTTCAAAAAAAAAAAAAATGCCCAACTATTTTCACAGAGGAGGTCTCGCTCTTGCTGACACTGGTCTAAGGGCAATCCACCCACCCCGACCTCCCAAGAGTGCTAGGATTACAGGTTGTGAGCCACCTCGCCCAACCCTCAAGACTCCATCTCTCAAAATAGCCAGGCACTTGTGTGGCAGGCACCTTTAGTCCCAGCTACTTGGGAGGCTAAGGCAAGAGGATCACTTGAGCCCAGAAGTTTGAAGTTGAGCACTCAGCACTCCACCAAGGGCAACAAAATGAGACTGTCTCAAAAAAAGAAAGAAAAGAAAAGAAAAAGAGTAAGAAAGAGCTGTGATAATTCTAACATGTCAAATAAGAATGACTATAATAGAAATTCATTCTTCATATGCTATTCCTCTCATAAATTGGAGACATCTCAAAAAATTTTCCAAAGTACCACATGGCCTCAAAACTAAAGTACACCACAGTAAGCCAAGGTACCTAGCAACATGTGTTACCATGATACCGATTATTTTCACCATAACCAATGAAGACTGAGCTAGTCCAGCAAGGTCATTCTGCTGGATCTCAATGAGGCTAATCCAGCTACTTGGGAGGACAAGAGGAGTTCTTTAGGCTTTGGGGATGTCCCTCAAGTGCTCTTTGAGTGGTTTTTATAAATAACCCAAAAGTTATGGTAAAACTTTAAATATGAGTGATTTGTAGCCAATCAAAACTCCTCAAAAAACACAGCTGCACTTAAGCATACTAAGCTTTTTTTTTTTTTTTTGAGACAGAGTCTCACTTTGTTGCCCTCAGTAGAGTGCTCTCCCATCACAGCTCACAGCAACCTCAAATTCTTGGGCTCAAGTGATCCTCTTGTTTCAGCCTGGGACTATAGTCCCTGCCACAATGCCTGACTAGCTTTTAGAGACTTTTGTAGAGACAGGGTCTCCCTCTTGCTCTGGCTGGTCTCAGATTCCTGAGCTCAAGACATCCTCCTGCCTCAGCCTCCCAGAGTGCTAATATTACAGGTGTGAGTCACCACACCTGGCCCAAGCATATTATGGTTTTTTTTTTCACCCAAAGTACCAAATCAAATAAGTGGCAAGCCTCCCTTTGCATGGTGGCCCACTTTGTAAGGTCCGACTCAAGTATTAAATAATAACTACCCTAGGGTAGAGGGTATGTGCACTAATTTACTTTGTACAAATTAACCAACACCAGGCATGTGCCTGACACAAAGCAGGCACCCCATAATTAAACACCAGTACTTGCCCTCCAAAGTTTTAAAAGCTTCCCCCACAAATGAAATTTCTTGGTCTTATATTCAGTGCCTTTTATAAGTAGGCACTCCTCTACTACTTACCCTCCCTTAATCTACTAGGATTTTATATTATATCCCCATACTTCTTCACCCAAATTCTTTACACCTATTAAATTCCAATCATGATTTGGGCCACAGTTCAAAACCCTCTTTTGGTAAGACTTCCCAGTGAACATCAGGCCTCATAACCTCTCCTTCTGAAGAGCTATAGTGTTCAGTGGATCATTATACAATATATAACAGAAAAGTTCTATATCTGTACTATATGTTCTTTTATATATGATAGGTACTTTGTTGCAAAGGACAAGCCTAATGCCTTAACATCTCTTTGATGACAACATGTTGCATTGGAAGGTTAAAGCATTTATCAAGTCACTCCAGTAGACTACAATTTCTTTGAACAAGGTAAATCTTATTCTTCACAGCAACATTCACAAAGGTGCAAAAAGTAAATATTTGATTTGCACACCACCTCCAAGAAAATCATAAGCAGGGACGGTGCTCAACTCAGGTGTCTGCAATGATGATCACTGCCTCTGCCCCATCTCATATCTGAACATCAAGACATAGAGGCAGGGAGGAGAAAGCAACTTTCTAGAGACACAAACAGCTGCTGATTAAGCCACAGGGATTTCTGGTTTGTTTGTTTGTTTGTTTTTAGAAACAAGGTCTTGTTCTAACACACAGGCTGGAGTTCAGTGAAGGGATCATAGCTCACTGCAATCTCAAACTCCTGGGCTCAAGTGATCCTCCCATCTCAGCCTCCAGAGAAGCTAGAACTACAGGTGCATTTCACCTTCTAATCCTGGCACTCTGGTTTAAATAACATGTAGGTCACTTCACCTAAAACATGCCTAAATTATCCCTTTACATTAGCAAATAGCTAAATACTGATGGCAAAACTATGCAGACTTAAAACAAGCTAATTATATCCTAAGTTAGACACAACAGTTAGAAAAATAACCTAAGCAAGCCCTATTTGTATTTCTTTTTTCATCTGTGTATTGAAAATTTATCTCTCTTGGAGTCTTTCCGCTTACTAGTATTTTACTACTCAGATAGATGTTAGAATTTCATTAACACTTTTCCCAGCTGGAACTACACACACTCTAAATCAAAACCCAGCATTTAAGTATCAGTAGTTTAAAACAATCAAAATATACAGAAGGCACAATACCACAAAGACACTCTGCTGCTTTGGGCAAGCATCTTGTTCCTTTGGTCTTGATTTCCTTATCTACAAAATGAGGTTAATGCTGTTTGAACTACCTATATCACAAACCCTTTGTGGGTCAAGTTATAACTGTGGATCTTTCTAAATGGCTATTTTTACCAAATGAACTACATATGAAAACAAAAGATTCATGAATTTGTTCATGGTTCCTTGTGGTGGACTAAGATCAATGTCCCCACATCTACAACAATTATTTTTCTTTTATTCCAGACTTCTCCCAATCCCACTGTGCAAATATCTGAATAAAAATTCTGTTAGTGCTCCAGTTTGATACATGGAAATAAATGTGTTGACTCAGGGAACACAGACACATTTAGTAGAAAATAGAAAATTGACTGAATCAAGTCATAACACACTCTAAATCCACATATAAAAGACCAAAATGATTTGCCGCTTTGATTTGCTCAAACCAATATTTTATCAGCACAACCAGCTAAAAATTTACAACCCATACACAGAATAAATCCTTAATTGCACATAATAAAACCCAGCAGGTCGCACACTACATATGTATATTTTTAATAAAAAAATGACTAACCCTTGACTTTCTCACCTTACATACACTCACTTGATATAACACAAGAGTGATATGTACTAAACATGGAAAACCCAACTCCGGTGACAGTTTGAATTTTGTTAACTTGAGTGCAGCCACACCCCCTAGAACACAGGTAAAGTTTGCACACATGGTTTTGCCAAGGCCAGCCTGTCTTTGTTTCCCTCTCCTCTGCATTTACCCAAGATCTTGGCTCTGAGACAGAAAACTCCCACTCTCGATTGGTTCATTCTGTTCTGTGCAATTAAGCAACACCACAATCCAGTAAATGCAATGGCTCAATTATTTATCTTCTGGCTGGGATTACCAGGTGTTTATAAAAGAACAATGTCAAGAGGTTTAGTTCTCTCAAGAGCTGGCTTGACGAGTTGAGGGCTTTATTTTCTTATTTTTTTAAAAGAATTATTTTTACGAGAGCGCAGTGGGGGAGAAGCATGGCTTAACCTAGAAAAAGATGAGAGGGAATTTAGAAAGAGTACGAGTCTGTCAATCTCCCTACAGGAAACTTGATTCTTGTGCAATAATCCTACCCACAACTAGCCAGTTCGTGAGGCTGCAGGGGGGAAGCCACCTATTGCTACGTCCAAAGGGGCTAAAGCCAACTCCAGAAGGAGCGGGAACAGGGCAAGGCGAAGGAAGTGGCTCAGCCAGGAGCCGCCGAGCCCGCCGGCGGGGCGGGGAGGAGGCTCCTTCCAGCCCTCCCCCGCCCCTGTGATCTCTGCCGGCGTGACAGTCCCTCCCGTGGCCGGAACGTCCCCAGAACCCCAGGGAGCAGGAAGTCGGGGGGCTGTACCTCACTCCTGCCACCCAGCCTACTATACCCTAGCCCCACAGTCCTTTCTCGAGTTCATTCTCACTCTTCCTCCGAAGAACGAAACTTACTTCCAGCGCCCCCTGTCCCTTCCGAGCCTCGCTCCTGTCATCCAGGGGAGTTGTCCCTTCAAAGTGATACCCTGCGTCTCCTCATATTCTCCCGCCCCACTCAAGTGTCCATTCACAACTCCCCGCAACATCCCCGAGATTCAGAGCCCCAGCGGCGCCCCCTGGGGTCCCCAGACCTGGGGGCGGTCCAGGGAGGCGGCCCCACCCTTCACCCCCTTCACCTGTTTCTCCGGCTGAGGTCAACAGGCCGGGGCTGCGCTTGCGCCGGGTGCGGGCGGCTGGGCTACCTCAGGCCGCCGGGCTTTTCCTAGCGGACGCGGAGGGACAGCGCCTAGCACGGGTGCTAGTCAAGGATCCGGTTGGGGCCAGTTCCCTCGGCTGAGACGTCGGAACCCCTAGGTCCCCTCCGTGTCTACGCCGCCGCAGCTCCGGAAACCGCTGAATTACAGCCCCTGCAGCCAATCCCCGCCCAGCCAAAGTCTGGCCAAGACACGCCGTCATGCATAATTCATCAAAGGCCAGCTTGTTTGGCCATCCAGAGGCTGCAGTGCGTGTGCTGTACAGCTAAAGTCCCACCCACTGACCAATGAGGAGCGTCTCTATGAGAAAGGGGGCGTGGCTAAGGGAATATTGGCTACGCCTTTGTGCTGGCTGTTCCGAGACTTTGTGCTCCTCCCTCCGCAGCAATTGAGGCTTTGGGCACAGAAATTCGGAGGGAGGGAAGGAACTTAATTGGAATGTCCTGCTGAAAACCCAGCTGAGTTCCTGGCAGTGCGTGACGTCAAGACACTTTAAATGCCCCTGGTACAACTCCCTCCTGCTAGCTCTCCCTTTTCTCGGCCTTTGGCACCACGTGGGAGCTAGGTTGAGAGCCTCTTACCACGTGGGAATCAGCCATTTAGAACTGTCCCCTGGTATCTCCAGGTTCTCAGGAGGCCCAACTCCTGAATTAGATTTCTGGGGACAACAAAAAGAACATGGGTGACTCCGCCTGCTTTGAACTTCAGTTTCTGCCTGAGTAGGGACATACACACCCGGAAACATGACGTGGAAATAGAGTAATTACTAGAGTGCGTGGGGAGAGAGTAGTGGATTTAACCTCTCTTCTGTTCCATCGCTTCCAGCATCAAATGCCAACGGCTAGCCTATTGGCCAGTACACGAGAATGCAGAAGACAGTACATATGAAGACTGACACGTACATATAGATGTACGTGATTTTTTTTTTTAGACTGGCACACTCTGTTGACCAAGGCTAGAGTGCAGTGTTGTTGTCGTAGCTCACAGCAATCTCAAACTCAAGCAATCCTCCTGCCTCAGCCTCCTGAGTAGCTGGGATTACAGGCGTGCACTACTATGTCTGGCTAAATTTTCTATTTTATATAGAGACAGGGTCTTACTCTCCGTTCAGACTAGTCTCAAACTCCTGGGTCCAAGCGATCCTCCTGCTTCAACCTCCCCAGTAGCTGGGACATGTACCACTGAACCCTGGTAATTTTTCTATTTTGGGTAGAAACTGAATCTCACTTCTGCTCAGGCTGGTCTGAACTCCTGAGCTTAAGCAATCCATCCACCTCAGACTGCCAAAGTGCTAGGATTACAGGTGTGAGCCATTTTGCTGGGCCAGTACATGACTTTTTTTTTTTTTTTTGAGACAGAGTCTCACTATGTTGGCCTTGGTAGAGTGCTGTGGTGTCACAGCTCACAGCAACCTCAAACTCTTGGGCTTAAATGATTCTCTTGCCTCAGCTTCCCAAGTAGTTGGGACTACAGGTGCCCTCCACAATGCCCAGCTATTTTTTTGTTGCAATTGTCATTGTTGGTTAGCTGGCCCTGGCTGCCCTCGAACCTGCCAGCCTTGGTCCATGTGGCTGGTGCCAGGCCCAGAGAATTTACCTTCATTTTACACTTGAGACTGTGTCTTCCTGGCTTGCAATAAAAATTAAAAAAAAAATTCAAATAGCTCGGAAAGGTCAAAGATTAAAAATGAAAATCTTCCCCATCAGTCCTTCCCTGCAAGGATAGCTGTTTGTAATTTTTAGAGAGAAAAATCAATGATTCTTAATCTTGGAGGGGAGGGGAAGTCACAGATCTTTCCAGGTCTGATGGAAACTAGGGATTTTAGCCCCAGAAAAAACATACTGCACAAGCTTTTACTTACAACTTCCTTTGTTCCCAGATACCTGAAACCTGTCTGGAGACTCCAGATTCAGATGCCCTGTACTCCCTCCGGAATGTCCAAGTAAGAAGTGACAGCATCTGTGGGGCAACTCGTAGGGTCACTGATGGTGGGACTGAAAGTCTCTCATTGCCCTCTTGTACACACAGCCCACTGTGAAAATTACTGTATTTATCTGAAGGGTGTGTGTAATGATCACTGTTTATCTTTACTTCATCCCAGGACATATATCTTCCAACTTACCTAAACTCCCTTTTAGCTGTTCTATCCCATGCACTTAACTGCCTCCCTCATAACATAGAGTCCAATATTTATTTAGTGATTTACCACTTACAAAGCACTCCTTTCCTTTTTCCTTTTTCTTTTATTTTCTTTCTTTTTTGTTTTGAGATTGGATCTCTAGGATCTCACTGTGTTACACAGGCTTGATAGAATCAGTGTACCTGCTCAAATAGACCTGCCCAGCCCAAGCAGAGTCAGGTTCATGACCCACCCAGGAAGGGTCAGACTAATTTGCCTTCCAGGAAATAGGAATGCCGCCAATTGCTACCCTCCCTGACCCTTTAAATCCCCATCCGACATGACCCTCGTGTGGAATTCCTTTCTTTTTTTTTTCAGTGAGACAGTGACTCTGTCTCACTTTATCCCCCTTGGTAAAGTGCTGTAGTGTCACAGTTCACAGCAACCTCCAGCTCTTGCCTCAGCCTCCCAAGTAGCTGGGACTACAGGCGCCCACCACAACGCTGGCAATTTTTGTTGTTGTTGTTGTTGCTGTTTGGCAGGGGCTAGGTTTGAACCTTCCACCCTCAGTATATGGGGCCGGCACCCTACTCACTGAACCACAGGCACCACCTAGAATTCCTTTCTTGACTTCACCCCACCTGCATCCAGGTGGAAATAAAGACCATATTATTTCTACAGAACTGGGATTTCATTTTCCTTTGTTTTGTACCTTGGAATAATCTTTCATCCTTGGGTCCAGAACCTTTCAAGGTTGAAGTGCAGTGGCATGATCACAGATCACTGCTACCTCCAACTCTTGGGCTTGAGCAATCCTCCCACCCTAACCTCATTTGTAGCTGGGTCTACAAATGCATGCCACTACACCAGGCTAATTTTATTTTTGTAGAGTTGGGATCTGACTTTTTTTATTTTTTCTTTTTTGGAGACAGAGCCTCAAGCTGTTGCCCTGGGTAGAGTGCTATGGCATCATAGGTCACAGCGACCTCCAACTCCTGGGCTCAAGCGAGTCTCCTGCCTCCGCCTCCCAAGTAGGTGGGACCACAGGCACCCGCCACAACGCCCAGCGATTTTTTTTTGGTTGCAGCCATCATTGTTGTTTGGCGGGTCCAGGCTGGATTCGAACCGCCAGCTCAGGTGTATGTGGCTGGTGCCTTAGCCAGTTGAGCCACAGGCACTGAGCTGGGTCTGACTCTGTTGACCAGGCTTGTCTTTTTTCTTTCTTGCAACAATCATATGTAGCAGATAAGAGAGGCCATATTATCCTCTACTAGAAAACTAAAGCCAAAATAATATGATATTCTCAAGATCAGAGATTGAAGCATACTAGGTGGGTTCAGAGCCATCTTTTTGGACACCGCATCCCATAGCTTTATTCCAGGCATCCTCAAACTACAGCCTGCAGGCCACATGCGGCCAGCCAAGGACATTTATCTGGCCTGCTGGGTGTTTTTGCCACTGCTGCCTATCCTGCTTAGCAGCTGACTTGTCCCAGGGCCCACAGTCCAGCCCTCTAACGGTCTGAGGGACCGTGAACTGGCCCCCTGTTTAAAAAGTTGGAGGACCCCTGGCTTTATTCTATCCGTCCAAGCCTTGTCCTCCTCCCCTGACTCCTCAAGAGTTTCCCTCCCTGCCTTCCCTACTACTCATACATAAAATCTACCCTGAGTCTGTTTGACCTACAAAACTTTTCAGCCCAGTCATTGGCCTTTCTCCACACTTCTACCAAATTCCTGTTGGCTAAATGCTGAAATTTCACTTAGACTAATGCTTTGGCCACTTCTTGCTCCATCCTATCTCCTGGTTGCCAGAGATATCATTGTAAAAAACAAAAAAATTTTTTAGACAGAGTCTCACCCTATTGCCCTGGATACAGTGCCATGTAGCTCTCAACAACCTCAAACTCCTGGGCTGAAGAAATCCTCTTATCTCAGCCTGCCAAGTAGCTGGGTCTACAGGCATAGACCACAACAGCCAGCAAGTTTTTCTAATTTTAGTAGGGACAGTGTCTCAGTCTTGCTCAGGCTGGTCTTGAACTCATGAGCCCAAGCAATCCACCCTCTTCAGCCTCCCAAAGTGCTAGGATTATAGGCATGAGCCACCAAGCCTGGCCTAAAAATGAAGTAAATATTCAATCATGCTGCAATCTGCTTAAAAATATCTACTCTTAGTCCGGACAAGGTGGCTTGCACCTAAAATCCTAGCAATTAAGGAGGCCAAGGCATGTGGATCCCTTGAGCTCAGGAGTTTGAGACCAGCCTAAGCAAGAGGAAACACCCTGTCTCTACTAAAAATAGAAAAATTAGCCAGGCATGGTGGCAGGTGCCTATAGTCTCAGCCATTCAGGAGGCTGAGGTAAAAGAATCACTTGAACCCGGGAGTGTGAGGTTTCTGTGAGCAAGACTGAGGCCATGGCACTCTATCCTGGGCAACAGGATGAGACCCTGTCTCAAAAAAAAAAAAAAAAAAAAACCCCACAACAACAAAATTCTCTACTCCTCTCAATTAACTACATCATAAAATCCAAGTTAAGTAAAAAATAGCAACCATCTACCATAATGTCAAGCATAAGGCTGTGCCTTCTTTCTCGCTCTTGATTTGAATCTCAAAGTCCTACAAAGTCTGACCTGAGTATCCTTTCCAGCTTCATCCCGCACACCCTAAGCTCCTAAACCATTAAATTTATCACCTTCCTCCAAACACATCTGCTACTTCTGTAACTTCATGCCTCTAAGGTCATTCTCTCCACTGGGAATCTCCTCCCCTTCTTCATAGCCTATGTGAAAACTCTTAACTCATTCTTCCAAGCCTGGTTCCAACCTCCTCTCCTCTGGGCTTTCCTGGTTTGTTCCTGGAAAAGTTAATCTCTGCTAGACTCCCTCAGCAGGTTCTTTCCTCATCTGGAATAGTATTCTCTGCCTTAAACTGTAATGTATACTTTTATTAGCCTTCTTCCTGATAAATAAACATAACAATTAACATGTGTTAGGTAATTACTAAGTTCCAGGTAGTATACTAAGCATTTACATAATCCCAGCAGAACACAGTAAGATGAGTAATATTATTGATCCTCAGCAGAACACAGTAAGATG